GCTGGAGGAAAGGCGAATCAGGGGATATAACTTACAATATATTTGTCTAGACTAAGGAGGTTACAGATAGGATGGACCAACATCAATGTTCAAACTGGGAAACGGGAAGACGAAAGCGGAAGAAAACCTCTAACATAAGAACTGCAGGTGAAAGAAATTGGCTACAAGACGAGATCGTTGAGACAATTTAAGAAGCACGTTTATAGAAACTACGACGAGAAACAAGATGAAAGTCATTCCATTAATTGATCATATGCAATGGCGGGGCTAGGGAACTATGGTTCGATCCTATAAACACAACTAGGCGAATACATAAATCATCAGGGCTGAAGAACGGATAACGCACAGGCTGCCACTAAGCTATCCATAGGCTTGTACTCACCTCTCAACTGTCAATCAACTGGTGTACAGATTCCTGAGCCTACTGGGCTCTATGATATCTACATTTGAAACTGTGTATGGAGTCAGCCTCCACCACATCACTGCCAAATGCATTCCATCTGTTAACTACTGGCACTGAAAAGTTCTTTCTAACGTCCCTGTGACTCATTTGGGTACTCAGTTTCCACCTGTGTCCCTTTGTTCGCGTACCACCCGTGGGAACGCACAACTGCTGTGGGTTGTGAGTTTCCGATCAGCACAATGGCAAAAACAAAATGCAAATTTTATGGACGACGAAATTGGAAGTTCTTCACTTACTACTTACACCACAAATAAGATCCACAAGCTAAGGAACCGTTTATAAATGGATACTATATTACTGGCATAGGAGCCAAACCTGTGTCATTTAGATTGCTAAACTCTAACTCAATAAAAAAAAAATTGCCATAAATTTATTAGACCTAGACAAAAAAATAACCGAAGATCTGTGTAGGCCTAGTCTAGCCAACTTCTGATTAGGTTACAGGAAAACAGTCACCGAGGGCTACCCGGCACAGTTAGGCAACTGCTTTGAGTTGCAGTTGACCATTCTCAAGACGAATCGACTTGAGAGGATAAGAAAAGAGAGAGGGTGGAGGAAAAGAGAGAGGATGGAGGAAAAGAGAGAGGATGGAGGAAAAGAAAAAGGGGAGAAAAAGAGTAAGAGAGATGGGGAAAGAAGAAAGTGTGGGAATAAAAGAAGGGAGAAAGAGGGTGAGGAAATGAGAGGGAGCAAAAAGTGGTGGGGAGGAAGAAAGAGGGGGGAAGAAAAGAGAGGGGGGGAAGAAAAGAGAGGGGGGGGAAAGAAAAGAGAGAGGGGGGGAAGAAAAGAGAGAGGGGGGGAAGAAAAGAGAGAGGGGGGAAGAAAAGAGAGAGGGGGGGAAAAGAGAGAGGGGGGGAGAAAAGAGAGAGGGAGGGAAGAAAAGAGAGAAGGGGGAAGAAAAGAGAGAGGGAGGGAAGAAAAGAGAGAAGGGGGAAGAAAAGAGAGAGGGGGGAAGAAAAGAGAGAGGGGGGAAGAAAAGAGAGAGGGGGAAGAAAAGAGAGGGGGGAAGAAAATAGAGAGGGGGAAAGAAAAGAGAGGGGGAAAGAAAAGAGAGGGGGAAAGAAAAGAGAGGGGGAAAGAAAAGGGGAGTAAAGAGAGGGGGAGGAAAAGGGAGAGGGCGGAGGAAAAGTGAGGGGGGGGAGGAAAAGGGAGAGGGGGGGAGGAAAGAGAGAGAGGGGGGGAGGAAGAGAGAGAGGGGGGAGGAAGAGAGAGAGGGGGGAGAAGAGAGAGAGGGGGGAGGAGAGGAGGGGGGGGAAGAGAGAGAGGGGGGAGGAAGAGAGAGGGGGGAGGAAGAGAGAGGGGGGGAGGAAGAGAGAGGGGGGGAGGAAAAAAGAGAGGGAGAGGAGGACGAAGAGAGGAAAAGAGAGGGGGAGAGAGGAAAAGAGAGGGGAGGAAAAAGAGAGGAAGGAAAAGTGAGGCGACGAGGGGGGAGAGGAGAAAATAGGGGGGAGAGGAGAAAATAGGGGGGAGAGGAGAAAATAGGGGGGAGAGGAGAAAAATAGGGGGGAGAGGAAAAAAATAGGGGGGAGAGGAAAAAAATAGGGGGGGGAGGAAAAAAATAGGGGGGAGAGGAAAAAAATAGGGGGGGAGAGGAAAAAAATAGGGGGGAGAGGAAAAAATGGGGGGAGAGGAAAAAAAAATAGGGGGGAGAGGAAAAAAAATGGGGGGGGAGAGGAAAAAAATGGGGGGGAGAGGAAAAAAAATGGGGGGAGAGGAAAAAAATAGGGAGGAGAGGAAAAAAAATAGGGGGGAGAGAGGAAAAAATAGGGGGGAGAGGAAAAAATAGGGGGAGAGGAAAAAATAGTGGGGAGAGGAAAAAATAGGGAGGGAGAGGAAAAAAATAGGGGGGAGAGGAAAAAATAGGGGGGAGAGGAAAAAATAGGGGGGAGAGGAAAAAATAGGGGGGAGAGGAAAAAATAGGGGGGAGAGGAAAAAAAAAGGGGGGAGGAAAAAATAGGGGGGAGAGGAAAAAATAGGGGGGAGGAAAAAAATAGGGGGGAGAGGAAAAAATAGGGGGGAGAGGAAAAAATAGGGGGGAGAGGAAAAAATAGGGGGGAGAGGAAAAAAAATAGGGGGGAAGGAAAAAAAAATAGGGGGGAAAGGAAAAAATAGGGGGGAAAGGAAAAAATAGGGGGGGGGGAGAGGAAAAAATAGGGGGGAGAGGAAAAAAATAGGGGGGGGGAGGAAAAAATAGGGGGGGGAGAGGAAAAAATAGGGGGGAGAGGAAAAAAAAATAGGGGGGAGAGGAAAAAAATAGGGGGGGAGAGGAAAAAAATAGGGGGGAGAGGAAAAAATAGGGGGAGAGGAAAAAATAGGGGAGAGGAAAAAATAGGGGGAGAGGAAAAAATAGGGGGAGAGGAAAAAAATAGGGGGAGAGGAAAAAAATAGGGGGAGAGGAAAAAAAATAGGGGGAGAGGAAAAAATAGGGGGAGAGGAAAAAATAGGGGGAGAGGAAAAAATAGGGGGAGAGGAAAAAATAGGGGGAGAGAGGAAAAATAGGGGGAGAGGGGAGGAAAAGAGGGGGGGAGGAAAAGAGGGGGAGAGGAAAAGAGAGGGGGAGAGGAAAAGAGAGAGGGGGAGAGGAAAAGAGAGAGGGGGAGAGGAAAAGAGAGAGGGGGAGAGGAAAAGAGAGGGGGAAGAGGAAAAGAGAGATTGGAAGGAAAACAGGGAGGGGGAGGAAAAGAGGGAGGGGGAGGAAAAGAGAGGGGGGGAGGAAAAGAGAGAGAGGGGAGGGGGAGGAAAAGAGAGAGGGGGAGGAAAAGAGATAGAAGTGGGATAACAAGTGCTCCTTACTCTGATACAAGTCACAATACGGTTCGCCAACTGATTTGAAAACCAACCTAACACTACTAAGTAAGCTCAGAATAATCTAACGATATACGTTCTTCCTTACTGGAAAAATTTGCTTTGTCGAAATGCATGTGTACGATCTGACCGTGGCCCCTACCCCCCCCCCCTAACTAATCCACCAGCCCGTCCTCACAAGGTTTACCAACGTCAAGAAACTGTCGTATTAAAGTGCCCTTGTCCTAACCTACCAGAGGACCCAAAACGGAAAACGGGACAGTATGGTAATTTCGCGAGCATTTTGCAGTACGACAGTTTTTGCCCTTAGGTAGAAGGGGAAACTATCAGGGGAAAGCGCCAAGCCATTACGACTATATAGCACTGGGAAGAGATCAGGATAAGGATTTGGGATGGGACGGGGGGAAAGGAACGGTGCCCAACCACTTGGACAGTCGGGGATTGAACGCCAACCTGCATGAAGCGGTGATTCACGGTGGCTCATCACTCGTCGTATTATTACATGCAGCAGCACGGCACAGGTCCCCGGCTGTGTCAGCAGCGACACATGAATACAAAAACTTCAAGCGATGAATCTGGGTCATTCCATTTAACTTGGTACCTTGAAGTTACCTTGAATTGGTTCTGGGAATTAATGTCCCCGCGGCCTGTCTGCTTGATCTGTCTGACCAGGCAACCTGGTTGAGTGATTGGCCAAGCAGATTGTCAGATGCTGTTGCACGCAGTCTGACGTATGAATCACAACCTGGTTGATCAGGTACACTTTAGAGGTGTTTTAGCAAGCTCCCTCTTGAACACGGAAAGACGCAAGCTAGTTATGCTCCCTTATATTTAGAGGATAGGTCATGAAAATCCTCTGGGTCTTAATGTTTATAGAATGGTCTTTGAATGGTCTCACTGCACCTCTACCTTTCAGGAGTTGTTATTCTATTCATTCTGACATGATTGTTTTTGTGGTAATTGTGGAACCAGTTACCGCGTAACGTGATGGAGGTGGGGTCCCTCGATTGTTTCAAGCGTGGGTTGGACATGTATATGAATGGGATTGGGTGGTTATAAATAGGAGCTGCCATGTATGGGCTAATACGACTTCTGCAGTTACCTTTGTTGTTCTGTTTTTATGATTCCTCGTTTTGTCAGGAAATAGTTCAGTGTGAAGGTTTGGAACCAGTTCCTCTATTTACGAGTATTTTGCCACAACGTGAATTGATTTACTGAAATTTTGCTTAAATTTGAAGCTACTAAAGCTATTATTCCTGAAGGTCACCCTCGATATAAAACAAAAATCATGAATATGATATTCATTGAATATCAGCAAGTATACTACTTGCTGATATGTGATTTGTCAGCAGCAGCCAGTTGAGGTGATGCGCTCCGCTGGTCATCCCTGGACCAGGCATTGATCTGACGCATTCCTCCACAACGGCGCCACACACACACCCCAGCATCCCCTACCTTCCGTTGAAATCTCCAAATCCCACGTTTGTATATTAACTGAAAAAAAGTTGTCCCGGCTGTAAGAGCTGCCTTTCAAGTAGCGGTAAAGGAGGCCTTGAGGTAGCAGTGTGCAGGGTACTGCGCACAGCATCTCCAGCTTCCCGCGCTTGGCTCCCAGGTGATCATCTGGGAGACCCCTACCATGATGCCCCCATCAACAATGGCAGCCAGATGAGGCGGCGGGTGTCAGCGCCACGGGTCCGCGCTCTACACACACACTCCCACTTAACCTTACCTTTGCTGTAGCCTTCTTGTAGCGGACGGTAGCTTTGTGTATAAGATCCCGCACTAAGATCTCCCCCTCGCCGCACGGCACCACTACACGCACCGAGCCGAAGCACACCGTCACTTTCATCTCGCCTGTCCTCCTCCAGGCACCGGGGGCCTCCAGGGCCACTGTTATACTCGCAGGGGCCTCCTTAGAGGCCAGCCTGGTGCTCTAGGGCAGGTCTTGTGCGAGCCCCCTCAGGTAAACAACTACCTGGAGCGGCCATGTTTACGCTATGCAGTGGGACATGTTCACCTATCCAACCACCTGCCGATATTTAACGTTTTCGATCACTATCGCTCGCTAATACTTTTTTTGATCTATTCCAGACTCCAAATTATACCCTCACTGCACTATAAACTTTCAGCGTGAATCATATAAATCTGTAATTAACGCGATTTCCTTCATAATTTGGGCGGAAAACGAGTGCACCACCACCCACTCCCAGAGCTCTGTGACAACTGAAGCCCGGGCGGAGGCGGCGCCGGCTGGTGGCCGCCCGGACAACTACCTTACAAACACTCGCACGTGAGCCACACACACATGGCCCCATGGCCAGGCGACCATGACTCTCTATGGCACTAACACTACACGCAACGGCTCTCTATGGCACCAGCACTACACGCTGCGGCTCTCTATGGCACCAGCACTACACGCTACGGCACTCTATGGCACCAGCACGACACAGTGCGGCTGTACATAGCACCACACGCTACACTTATCAATGGCAGCACAACACACTCAGACACATAACAAGAGAGTGTAAGGTAATGAATATCGAAGAGGCTGAAAACAAAGATTGTACACCATAATGGAAAGCTAATTGGAATTTACACCCAATAAATTACAATTTTTTCATATCAAAAATGCTGTGAAGCATTTGTTAATAAAAAATATAAACAAAAATAGATTTTTTAAACCAAAATTTTAAACAGTTCAGTGCCAGAACTAAGAGGATTAAGTTTTGAAAATGAATGCTGGTTAGCAATGTAAAAATACTTCGATCACCTATGTGGTTGAGAGCACGATAACCCACAGCACTAAGATGTCCAACAGGAGCCAGATTCACGAAAGCAGTTACGCAAGCACTTACGAACGTGTACATCTTTCCTCAATCTTTGACGGCTTTGGTTACATTTATTAAACAGTTTACAAGCATGAAAACTTCCCATTCAACTGTTGTTATTGTTATAAACAGCCTCCTGGTGCTTCGGAGCTCATTAACTGTTTAATAATGGTAAACAAAGCCACCAAAGATTGAGAAAAGATGTACATGTTCGTAAGTGCTTGCGTAAGTGCTTTCGTGAATCTGGCCCCGGCAGATCTCTAACCCTGTCCACGGAGGACAGAAGACAATCTGGACAGAAAACAGTCATAGCAGACGACTGCTATGGTGGTTAGAAGTGTGACTGAAATGCCACGTCTGTGGTAGAAAATAAACCAAAAAATAAGAAAGGCCGGAGCATAAACATTAAACAACCAAACCTCATATCCCTGTGGTCACTGATAGGTAATCACTGATAGGTAATCACTGATAGGTAAGCACGGAGAGGTAGTCTCTGATAGGTAAGCACGGAGAGGTAGTCTCTGATAGGTAATCACTGATAGGTAAGCACGGAGAGGTAGTCTCTGATAGGTAAGCACGGAGAGGTAATAAATCGGGCCAGATTCACGAAGCAGTTACGCAAGTACTTACGAACTTTACACACACAAATCACAATTGCGTGATGCATCAAATGAACAAATCCACAAGGGCCTTGACGAGGATTCGAACCTGCGTCACGGCAGCGTCTGGGATGCTCTCGGACGCGTTGTTCGAATCCTCGTCACGGCCCTTGTGGATTTGTTCACTTACGAACTTCTTTGGCAGCTTTGTTTACAATTATTAAATAGTCAACGAGCTCCGAAGCACCAGGAGGCTGTTTATAACAATAACAACAGTTGATTGGCAAGTTATCATGCTTGTAAACTGTTTAATAAATGTAACCAAAGCCGTCAAAAATTGAGGAAAGATGTACACGTTCGTAAGTAATTGCGTAACTGTTTCGTGAATCTGGGCCCAGAGTTCGAATTCCCGATACTAAGTTATCCAATAGTTTGATTTAGTGTTGGTTTTAGACCTATGATTTAGACTTTACTGACCAGTCGGCACCTATACTTTAGTCCTAGAAACGGTTCAAGGTAAACAGTCTGAATCCACAGCGATAAGTGGAATGCGCTCGCGATGTTTATGTCTTACGCAATGTTTGTGTCTTGACTGTTTGTGTTTACTATTTGCGTCTGTAGAATCGAGCTATTAGCTCTTGAACCCCGCCTTTTTAATCAATGTATTTTTCCTCTATTATGTCTACTACATATATTTTTCTCGAACACACACACACACACACACACACACACACACACACACACACACACACACACACACACACACACACACACACACACACACACACACACACACACACACAAGGGTCAGAGAGAGAAAAAGACTTGGGGGTTGACATCACGCCAGACCTGTCCCCTGCAGCCCATATCAAGAGGATAACATCAGCGGCATATGCCAGTCTGGCCAACATAAGAATGGTATTCACAAACTTGTGTAAGGAATCATTCAGAACTTTGTATACCACATATGTCAGACGAATCCTAGAGTATGCAGGCCCATCATGGAGTCCATATCTTGTCAAGGATAAGACTAAACTGGAAAAGGTTCAAAGGTTTGCCACCAGACTAGTACCCGAGCTGAGAGGTATGAGCTACGAGGAGAGGCTACGGGAATTAAACCTCACTTCGCTGGAAGACAGAAGAGTTAGGGGGGACATGATCACCACATTCAAGATTCTCAAGGGAATTTATAGGGTAGATAAAGACAGGCTATTTAACACAAGGGGCACACGCACTAGGGGACACAGGTGAAAACTGAGTGCCCAAATGAGCCACAGAGATATTAGAAAGACCTTTTTTAGTGTCAAAGTAGTTGACAAATGGAATGCATTAGGAAGTGATGTGGTGGAAGCTGACTCCATACACAGTTTCAAGTGTAGATATGATAGAGCCCAATAGGCTCAGGAATCTGTACACCTGTTGATTGACGGTTGAGAGGCGGGACCAAAGAGCCAGAGCTCAACCCCCGCAGGCAGAATTAGGTGAGTACACACACACACACACACACACACACAAGAATTAGCCCGTAGCAGCCGTCTAACTCCCAGGTACCCATTTATTGCTAGGTGAACTGGAGCATCAGGGGGAAAGAAAGTAAGAAAGTGCCTATTTCTTTCTGTATGTGTGTGTGTGTGTGTGTGTGTGTGTGTGTGTGTGTGTGTGTGTGTGTGTGTGTTCGTTTCATGTATACCACGCGAACGAATAGTACAAAATGCACACCAAAATATATATATATATATAAATGCTTTTCGAACACTCTCACTCCCGACAACATCGCCCAAAAGGCAATTCGCAAGCTGTTTAGCGCGACGAACACACAAAGTTTAAGATAATAACCCGCCTCGTGTAACGCCCCATCATTACTATGGCTGTTAACACCAACATCACCACTACTCCCCGCATACCTGTGGCAAGATCCTCGAACCTGATAACCACCTTTTGAGAACAGTTTATCGCCGACCCATCGTCACGAGACGCTAGTTGATAACGGTGGCGATAAGGGCGGTAATGGGGACACCCATAGGTCAATGGAACAACCCTCCCACACCCTCCCTACCCCAACTTACCCCCCTCCCCATCATGCCGGGTCACCTCTGGATATCAAAACAATGCTGAACCTAATGTTTGCTAGGTAGTAACGAAGGCAGTGAATGACACGAGTTGTAATGTTATTGTTTACGCCAGATGTCACGTGGGCCGGCGCGCGCACACACACACGTGTGTGTGTGTGTGTGTGTGTGTGTGTGTGTGTGTGTGTGTGTGTGTGTGTGTGTGTGTGTGTGTGTGTGTGTGTGTGTGTGTGTGTGTGTGTGTGTGTTGATTGACGGTTGAGAAGCGGGACCAAAGAGCCAGAACTCAACCCCCGCAAACACAACTAGGTGAGTTGAGTACAACTAGGTGAGGACACACACACACACACACTTGGGTTGGTGTTGGCTTTATTTAGAGGCGTTCACCTTCTGTGCCGTCCATGCTTGCTGTGGCACACTCAGCCGCCCACACGGACGACAGCAGGTGACACAGCGAGGACACAGATGACAGCGGGCGACACAGCGAGGACACAGATGACAGCGGGTGACACAGCGAGGACACAGATGACAGCGGGCGACACAGCGAGGACACAGATGACAGCGGGTGACACAGTGAGGACACAGATGACAGCGGGCGACACAGCGAGGACACAGATGACAGCGGGTGACACAGTGAGGACACAGATGACAGCGGGCGACACAGCGAGGACACAGATGACAGCGGGTGACACAGTGAGGACACAGATGACAGCGGGCGACACAGCGAGGACACAGATGACAGCGGGTGACACAGCGAGGACACAGATGACAGCGGGTGACACAGCGAGGACACAGATGACAGCGGGCGACACAGCGAGGACACAGATGACAGCGGGTGACACAGTGAGGACACAGATGACAGCGGGCGACACAGCGAGGACACAGATGACAGCGGGTGACACAGTGAGGACACAGATGACAGCGGGCGACACAGCGAGGACACAGATGACAGCGGGTGACACAGTGAGGACACAGATGACAGCGGGCGACACAGCGAGGACACAGATGACAGCGGGTGACACAGTGAGGACACAGATGACAGCGGGCGACACAGCGAGGACACAGATGACAGCGGGCGACACAGCGAGGACACAGATGACAGCGGGTGACACAGCGAGGACACAGATGACAGCGGGCGACACAGCGAGGACACAGATGACAGCGGGCGACACAGCGAGGACACAGATGACAGCGGGTGACACAGCGAGGACACAGATGACAGCGGGCGACACAGCGAGGACACAGATGACAGCGGGCGACACAGCGAGGACACAGATGACAGTGGGCGACACAGTGACATGACAGAGACTTGGCCCAACACCAGAGAGTGCTGGCCGGGGCGCCCATCAGGAAGCTATATTAACTCTCACTAAACTGTTGCCTGTAGACCATATTTAAACTGTGCCTTCACACACACACACACACACACACACACACACACACACACACACACACACACACACACACACACACACACACACACACACACACACACACACACACACACACACACACACACACACACACACACACACACACACACACACACACACACACACACACACACACTACCAGCGGGGAAGTAAGGAAGTGTTTACTAGAGTTGGATGTGACAAAGGCTATAGGCCCAGATGGAATCTCCCCTTGGATACTAAAGGAAGGAGCAGAAGAACTGTGCCTACCACTCTCCATAGTGTATAACAAATCTCTGGCAACAGGGGAACTGCCAGAAATTTGGAAAGCAGCTAACGTAGTCCCGATATACAAGAAAGGGGATAGACAGGAGGCACTGAACTACAGGCCAGTGTCCCTAACCTGCATACCATGCAAGCTGATGGAGAAGATTGTGCGAAGAAAGCTAGTGGAGCACCTGGAGCGAAAGAACTTTGTAACAAAGCACCAACATGGATTCAGGGATGGCAGGTCCTGCCTCACAGGGTTACTTGAATTCTACGACCAGGCAACAAAAATAAGGCAAGAAAGAGAAGGGTGGGCAGACTGCATATTTTTGGATTGTCATAAAGCCTGTGATACAGTGCCACACAAGAGGCTAGTGAAAAAGCTGGAGATGCAGGCTGGAGTGAAAGGGAAGGTACTCCGTTGGATTCAGGAGTACCTAAGTAACAGGAGACAACGAGTCAGTGTGCAACCCATCCTCGACTCAAGTCCATTACATCCAGCGGTCAACCCCACAGACGCATTCATAAATTTTAACATGCTGTTCATTCAAAACGGGAATTTTCTCAAGTATAAATTAATATTATAGTATATTAGCATATTGTGTATAAATAGGCATAGGTTAGGTTAGGTCAAGTGTTTAGGTTCTGTTGGCGATTATTTGTATTTGTAGTACGTGGGTGAAGCATTTACAGCGTTGTGGTTCGAACAAAATTCGTCAGTGAAGCACTTGTTCCGGATATGTTCGAACGTCAGCAGTTGTGAGTCGTGTGTAAACCGCTTTTCATTCATAAACAGCGGGTTTGGCGGGTGCATGGAATCACTTTTGGATCTTTGTTTGGAGGACGGGCTGCAGTGTGAGGGGTGAGGTCTCAGATTGGCGAGACGTTACGAGTGGAGTCCCGCAGGGGTCAGTCCTTGGACCTATACTGTTTCTGATATATGTAAATGATCTCCCAGAGGGTATAGAATCGTTTCTCTCAATGTTTGCCGATGATGTAAAAATTATGAGGAGGATTGAAACTGAGGACGATAGTAGGAGGCTACAAGAAGACCTAGACAGACTTAGTGAATGGTCCAACAAATGGCTGTTGAAGTTCAACCCGAGTAAATGCAAAGTAATGAAACTAGGCAGTGGAAACAGGAGGCCAGACACAGGATACAGAATAGGAGATGAAGTACTTAATGAAACGGACAGAGAGAAAGATCTAGGAGTTGATATCACACCAAACCTGTCTCCTGAAGCCCACATAAAAAGAATAACGTCTGCGGCATATGCGAGGCTGGCTAACATCAGAACAGCGTTCAGGAACCTGTGCAAGGAATCATTCAGAATATTGTACACCACATATGTAAGACCAATCCTGGAGTATGCGGCCCCAGCATGGAGCCCGTATCTTGTCAAGCACAAGACGAAGCTGGAAAAAGTCCAAAGGTATGCCACTAGACTAGTCCCAGAACTAAGAGGCATGAGTTACGAGGAAAGGCTGCGGGAAATGCATCTTACGCCACTGGAAGACAGAAGAGTAAGGGGAGACATGATCACAACCTACAAAATCCTCAGAGGAATCGACCGGGTTAACAAGGATAAATTATTCAACACTGGTGGGACGCGAACAAGGGGACACAGGCGGAAATTGAGTACCCACATGAGCCACAGAGACGTTAGAAGGAACTTTTTCAGTGTCAGAGTAGTTAACGGATGGAATGCATTAGGCAGTGATGTGGTGGAGGCTGACTCCATACACAGTTTCAAATGTAGATATGATAGAGCCCAGTAGGCTCAGGAATCTGTACACCAGTTGATTGACGGTTGAGAGGCGGGACCAAAGAGCCAAAGCTCAACCCCCGCAAGCACAAATAGGTGAGTACAAATAGGTGAGTACACACACACACACACACACACACACACACACACACACACACACACACACACACACACACACACACACACACACACACACACACACACACACACACACACACACACACACACACACACACACACACACACACCGGGAGACTTGTACAAGCTCTGTGGCAGCTTCTGTGTCGCAATATTGATGCGTCAAGAAATGTTTCTCAAAGCTGGTGGATGTCTGGCCCAGGATATATCAAGCAATTACCCAACAACTACTTGCGAAACCTGTGCATCTTTTCTCAATATATATATGGCAGTTTATTTAGATATATTAAACAGTTTATGAGCTCCGAGGCCCTAGGAGGCTGTATATAACAATAATAACATTTAGTTATAAAGTTTCGATGCTGTAAACTGCTAAAAAAATTCAACCAAAGATTGAAGGAAGGTGTTCAGTTTCTTAGTAAAATGTGTAAATGCTTGTTAACTCCTGGCCAAGGTAATTTTTGTTATAAACGACCTCGTAGTGCGAGTTCATAAACTGTTTAGCAAATATAAACAGAGCAGCTATGATTAAGGAAAGATGTACAGGTTTCGTAACTGGTTGCGTAAATACTTGATGAATCCTGGCCTGGGTCCCATTTTGTCCAGGAGTTACCAGAGCACACTGGGCGTTCTCTAACAAATTACGTCGCTTTTCGCTCGTATGCACTATGGGCAACTATCGACGTAATTCAAAATGGAAATTTATTTTCCCAATTAAATTTTAGATTTTTTTCCAAAACAGTTAAGGGTCCTCTGGTAGGCTAGGAGGGCAGGAAGTTCTAAGATTTCAAAACGTCATGAAAACCGTTAAACACTTTCAAAGAAAGTGGAAAACCGTTAATTGAAAGAGTCCTCTCCTAAACTAGCAGCCTAAGCCAGAGGACCCAAAACAGAAAACGGGACAATACGTCACTCTCGCGAGCAGATTTCATTTTGAATAACGTCGATTTTTAACCTGATGGTGTGCAACCCGTTATTTTTGTAACGTAAGTAACAATAAGACTGATTTTGCGCTTCGTGTGTGAAAGGCAGAGAATGTAGAATGAGAAGAAAGCGCTCAGTACTTGGATGGGATATGAAGGCACACTAAGAGAGAGATATGAGGACAGAGTGACGGAACTGTGCACAGTCACTGGAACCATTGGGAATCGAACGCTGACCCTGCAAAAAGCGAGCCTGTTGTTATATTGACTATAGTGCCATCTTATTTTTTATAATATTTATCTTATATCTACTGACCATCCCTGTAAATGTTTTTTATTCATTTATTATGCACCCCATACCCATCCCGTGGGCGGTGGTGGAAAGGATTACAGAGGCACATAATGGGCTTAGGGACTGAACCCCATAGTTCGTTTAGCTAAACTCTCATATACACACATATATACAAATACACACATATACAAATACTCAAATACATATACATAGTATTTTTATATCGCAAGTGATTCAAGAAGAGGCCTACATCAGTCTCTATACAAGGCACTTTACATCTATGGTGAGTCACACAGTTACTAGTCTTGCTCCACACCCACCCAACTGGGCGGCAGCTTTACAGTCATGTGCTCCACACCCACCCAACTGGGCGGCAGCTTTACAGTCATGTGCTCCACACCCACCCAACTGGGCGGCAGCTTTACAGTCATGTGCTCCACACCCACCCAACTGGGCGGCAGCTTTACAGTCATGTGCTCCACACCCACCCAACTGGGCGGCAGCTTTACAGTCATGTGCTCCACACCCACCCAACTGGGCGGCAGCTTTACAGTCATGTGCTCCACACCCACCCAACTGGGCGGCAGCTTTACAGTCATGTGCTCCACACCCACCCAACTGGGCGGCAGCTTTACAGTCATGCGCAGGCTGCACCTACAGTAAGCAAATTGTTAATACTTCGCTAAGATTCCTGTCAGTACAAAGTCATGACTGAAGCACTTACACATTTCTTGGACGCCCTTGATGGTGTTATCTCTGAATTCCGCGATTTGTTCGCATTCCATTATATAATAACACAAATCATGGGAATAGTTCTGCTGACAAAGTTTACATTTAGTCAAATCTACATCAGTAGATGTTGCAAACTCCCAAAGGTACTTAATTGTAGTTGACCCTAAGCCTAGCAGTGGTAACATTTAGAAGTCTACTAACTTTATTGGACGATCCATACAGGTGCGGCTCTTCCTGCATAATAGAATGATGATAGATGGAGTAACTGGCTACTAGATTTTATTGCTATTCCCGGAATATTGCAGCCCTCAGGCTGCTCAAAGGCAACCCCAGATGGTAATCAATTCCACCTTTACGATCAAAAGTTTGAGCTAACTCATTAGTTCTATCATGTGTCATGAGAAGGAATGGGAAGGACTCCACAGGAACTCTGACTCCATCATTGATTGTTTCATTATGTCTGTGCCTAGTTTCAGGCACAAGCTTGTCCCAGCATTGCCTTGGAGAGCTGAGTGTGGTCAAGAATGACAGTCACTTACAATTAACGTCCCGACTTTGGATTCATATACTCGTTCGAGTGCGAGGGTTATGGCCAACAGTTCTGTCCGGAGAGTGAAGTTATTTATACGTGCTCCACACTTTTAGGAGGAGAGAAGGAGAAGAGTCTCCCACTGTCACAACAACTGCACTTACAGCTGCATCATGAGACAGGTACAAGGAGCCGTAAGTGTAAATAATTTAGCCAGAGAACAATTTGTTATTCTCTTTCA